ATGCATTAGAACAGGATGTTTTTGCAGGGACACCATGTTGGCCTCTACAGTTATTGCTGCTGAAGTGATTATGATCTCTGAAGTAACTAATAAATCACCAAAGCAAGTGGGAAGATTTCATTCACATGGCGTAGCAACCCCAAGTTTGTATTGATTTATTGACCACAGCGATTTCTTTAATAGAAATGAACTTGGAAGCCAAAGAGGTCATCTTTGGTTCCCTACAATGAGTCCAATAACTGTCAATATTTTATGAGAAGTTAGGGCTTAATTTTTAATAGCTCTATTAACCTGTTGTGCAGCATATACAAATCCATACCTCGTTGATATTATCACTTTATTGATAGTACTGTTGCTTTGTGGGCTTTCATTCCTTTTTTTAAAAAATATTTATTTTGTATACATGAGTACAATGGAGGCTTTCCCTCTCACCTCAGGTGAGCATAACTTGGGGTGCTGGGGTCCTAGATAAATCAACAGCTCCAAGGCAATTCCAAGTCAGTGGCTTCCAGGTCCCTTACCTCATGACTTTTAAGAACAAATTTCATTGACAACGGGAGAGTGAGTTTAGAAAGGAGTTTTATAAGATGGTAGGTGGGAGTTGAAAAGAAAGAAGGCAGAGTTCCTGAATAGCAGGCAGAGGTCCCAAAGCAGAGTGCCATTGAAATTTTTACAGGACTTAACGACAGAAATGGGGTGCAGCATGCATTGGTTTGTCCAGGTACCCCTCTATTTTGACTGTGTCCCTCACATACAGTTTCCAGGCAGGGGTGCTCATTCAGGGGAAGAGCAGTAATAAACTCCCTTCAGGCATTCCTAGCTTCTAATAAGGACAGACCTGTTGACAAGGCCATTTCCAGCTTCTATGAAGGATGAGTCCAAACTGTGTTCAGCGCCCCTGCCTGAACACCTGTACTCATCAAAGTCAGCACCTGCCTGTGAGTGCTGGGACTCCATGCCTTCTTCATCAAGCTGTACTCCAGTCAAGTGATTCTAATTTCAACCCAAGACAGACCTGGCCCGTGATCTTAAGCAGATACCTTCCACAGGTGCTTCGAACCACAGCCGGTTGTGGGGCTTGTGGAGTCCTTCCCACCTCATCGCCCAGCTTACTCTCTGCTGTAGTTAGGATGTTTTCCTGTGTGTTGAAGTCTTGGTTGACAAGAGTGGGAGCTACTGGAAAGCACTGGAATCTTTAGTAAATGGAACCTATTGGGAGAGAAGTCACTGGCGACGGTCTCTGGAGAGAACCTGGGGTCCTGGCCCCTCTTCTTTGTAGCACGAATCCTAACTGGTCTCAATAAAAGCCCGGAGTCAAATGTCAGGGTGCAAGTGGAAAGATCAGAGAAGCAGAGCAGCCCGCCACCAGTTCTTACCTCTATGAAATCCTCAGCCAAAAGGGGACTGAGCTCCTGTCTCCTCCCGCCTTATATTCCTCTCTCGGCCCAGCCATATCACTTCCTGTCTCCACCTCCCTAGTGCTGGGATTAAAGGTGTGTGTCACCACTGCCTGGCCTCTGTGGCTAACTAGTGGCTTCGCTCCACACTCTGATCTCCAGGCAAGCGTTATTTGTTAGATCACAAACAAAACATCACTATCCTTCTTGTTTTGCTTCCAGGCTGCCAGTGAGATAAGCAGCTTTGTGTCATGGTGTGTGTGCTCCCTGTGAGGATAATGCTGCCTCATGATCAGCCCCAAAGCCACAGAACCTATAAAACGTGGACCAGACCTCTGAAATAAACATTCCTCTGAAGTTAATCCCCTCGGGCACAGACAGAAAGAGGACTAACATGAACTTGTATTTTTGCTGTGCACTGTACTGTTGACCATTTCTCCTCTCTAGCCTTTGGTTCAAGTTGTTCCCCCAAAGGACTTCCCAGTCACACCTTCCCCTGGCTTCTGGTCATTCTTCAAAGCAGCTGAGATATCACCTATTCAAAGAAATCCTACCTCTCTGCATGTAGGCCTCATGCACAGTCCTACTCCGGGGAAGGGTACAGCCCTGCTCCCATGACTCAGGGAGCAAAATTAGGGGTTTATTCATGTATCACTATAACCACCATTGCCATTATTATATTTTATAGTCATTCTTGCATGAATATTTCATCATTAATATTTTATTATTACACTTTTGTCAGTGATTTAGTCTTTAACATTTCAGGTTAGTGTTCAAAGCACTGGGTTTTTGTCATGACACCTTCATGTGTGCCCTTATATTTTGTTCTCATTTGTTTCCCTCCTCACTGTTTCCCCTAAACTTGTGTGTCTCTTTAGAATATTAGCTCATTCTTTTAAAAAGTAGGACATAAAAAAGCTGACCTGAATGAAAATAATACAAGAGGTTTACTAGATGATTCATGGATAGCACTGGGCAAGGGGGGCAGGATGTGGTTCAGTAATAGAGTACTTAACTACCATGTGCAAGGCCCTGGGTTCAAATTCCAGTCTGCATTTGAAAGGATGTCACATCACACTAGCAACAAGAGAAACATGGATTACTGTCGCTCTCTCTTATCTGTCATACAGATAAAAGCCAAAGTGAACAGCACATTCTGTGACCAGGTGATTGGAATCGCCAAAGAGGTATTCTCGGTAGCTGTGGGTAGAATTCAAAATGATGCAGCCATTATGGGGTGGGGCAGGAAAGGTCTAGCTGCCTTTCCCCTTAGACCAGCAATATCACTTCCAGGAGTTTAGCCTAAAGATGTTTGCAAAACAGCTACAGATGTAGACAGGAATTGTATTTTATAGTGCTGTGGAATAATCCTTTTGTACTGTGGAGATTTGTCACTTGGATTGGTTTAATAAAAAGCTAAATGGCCAATATCTAGGCAGGATTTTCAGGGCAGAGAAGACCCTGGGAAGAAGAAGGGTGGAGACATGATCACCAGCCAGATGTAGAGGAAGCCAGGAGATGAACATGCCATGCTGAAAAAAAGGTACCACCCACCATATGGTAGAGCATAGACAAGAATTATGGGTTAATTTAAGTTATAAGCTCTAGTTAGTAACAAGCCTAAGCTATTGGCCGACCATTTATAATTATTAAGACATCTATGTGTGGTTATTTGGGAAGGGACTGACGAGACAGAAAACTTTGTCTACATTATAGCACTGTGTGTGTAACAAAAACAAAAAAAAAGGAATAGTTTGATCATTAATAATGTACTGGTGGAATGAATTAGGGCAAATACATTCAATTGAATATATATTTTCCAGTTGTATCTATAAAATGGGAACTGATTTTACCTAATGCTGTATAAAGGAGATTGATCTGCAGATACCCTATAAATATGAAGTAAGATGAGAAAGTATGTTCAGCATATCATTGTTTCTTTAGATGGGAATGATTATAAGTATGTCTCTGTATCCATGTATGTATATATTTGCAGTTATAATTTTAGAAATGCTCCTGAAAAATAAGAGATTATGGAATTAACAAGAATAAATATGGAAGATTTTAAAAAAAATATTCCTTATTTTAAGAATTTTACTTATGAACCATGTAAATATTTTCCTTTATAAAAATTTTAGAAAAATCCTTAAAACCTGAAATAAGCAACAAATGAACCTAAACACACGTTGATCTGGTGCATCATCCCGAAGAAGAGAGTTCCCTGCATCCTCCCCTGTTTCCTTCCCTTCGGCATTTCAGTATGAGGGTCGCTAAATCTCAGAAAACTGGCAATAGTCTTAGAGTCAATGCAGAAGCTACCTTCCCCATTATGGCTTAAGGGAAGGTACCCAGGCAAAAGCCTTGATCTTTTTATTTTTATTTTTTGTTTAAGTTAAACAATTTCTTTTAAAAACATGACTTATTGTATGTGTCTGGATGTTTAGTCTGTATGTAAGTCTGTGTGCTATGTGTATGCCTTGTGCCCAAGAGGCCAGAGAGGGCATCAGATCACCTGGGACTGGAGTTACTTGGGAGTGGCCACATGGGTGCTGGGAATTGAACCTGGGTCCTCTGGAAGAGCAGCCAGTGCTCTTTACCTCCAAGCCATCTCACCAGGTCCGTAATTACTTCTCTTAATTTAGGTTTCTCCATCTTTTTCTCTTTGCAGCATTATTAGGACCACAAGTGAGCCTGGGTAGTAGTGCATCTGCAGTCCCAGTGACTTGGGAGGCTAAGGCAGAAGGATCCCTCGAATCCAGGAGTTCAAGGCCAGTCTGGGCAATATAGCAACAAAATACAGGGACACACCAAATAAGCTGGTTCCTGTAGTCCTCCCTCCAGTCCCAGGTTCTTTGTTTGTTTGTTTTTCTTTAAGACAGGGGCCTGTGTACCTAAGCTAGCCTTGGAATGTCTATGTAGCCAAAGATGACCATGGACTTCTCATCCTCCTGCATCCACATTCCTGAATGCTGTAATGACAGATGTGTGCCACCACAACGTGGGTTTTAAGTCCCTGTCTGTCGGAACATGGCCCAAGAATGGAGTCCTGTAAGGAGAATTCTGAGTGCTTGTGAGAAAACAAAGAGTCTTGTGACCTCAGTTCCTTCAGAACACGGAATTGTTCTTGGAAAATGTTTTTGGGCTCCTCCCAGGTATAGCGAATAGGAATGAGTTGACTTCAGATTGTTCTTAACAACTGGCTATTATTATTTGTTTATATGCCTCTATGGAAAAACATGTTGCCTTGTTGTTGCTTGTGATTGTGATTGCACACTTTACTCTGGTGACACTTCTTACCTCTGTAACTGTCTGATGCTCTGAATAAAGTTAATTATTACATGAGACTTCAGTCCACCTTATTTATCTGCTCCATTTGCCGAGGGTCCAGAGACTCTAGAACAATGACACCTGTCTTTTACTAAGAAATTTCCAGCTTGGATGCCTCAGACAATGGTTCTTTCGAGGACAGAGTATTTTCAAGAGAGATGTGTTGTAATGATCCAGGACCTTTAAACACAGTAATCAGGATGGGGTGGCCTCCGAGAGAGAAGATTCTGCAACAGTGAACCAGCAAAGAAGAGTACAATGTGGGTCTGAGTCAAGGGAAAGGACAACACAGAGGGCCAGGGAAACAAGATTTGGCTCCAGTTGTCCACGCTGGGAAAGGGAATCTGTACTGCTTGGAAGCACTGAGTAGTGAAACGAGAAGCACTCCCATGTGAGCGTTCTGGTGCGTGCACGTCTGTGTAGTCCAGCTGTCTCAGGGCAGTCCGACTCTATCTTTTCTGGAGAGTGTTTTTCAGATGGGTTTAACCATGCTTTGCATTTCTCTCTTTCTCCCCCACACAGCCCCAATTTGTCCCTGTAGAACATTCTTCAGAAATGCTGGAAGACACCGGAGACAGAGCCCTCTGGGCTGGCTGTTCTAGGACTTCCTGGACACGATTCTTCTGGTCGGATGTGGGCAGACGAGGGAGGACAGTGGTGGTGGGATGCAGCTCTTGGGCATACTCCAGTTCTGTCTGCTCTTAGACGCTGGAATACAGAGCCCTGGCCTGTATGCCAGGAACATCTGCTCCTCCTGTCATAAAGCATCCTTAGCAACCACCCAGCCTAGGTCACAGATGGGGAGGACAGAGACCCCTGTCCTTGATGGTTCCTGGTACATTCTGTTCTGAAGACATTCAGGCAGGAATTGCAGCTAAGGGGTTTGAACCTCAGCATCCTCAGCATGGCTGTATCATACCGGGAGCCGCTCTCTGAGATGGTGGGAAAGCGCATGGTGGTCACAGGTGAGCAGAGTGTGGGTTCACTTTCTCAGCGACTGAAGTCATATTCATCCTCACATAAAGGGTTTGACAGTGAAATAATCACAGGACTGTTGTCTCATACAACAGTTGGGCGGGGCATGGACACCTCCTAGCTTCCAACAGGTCTTCATAGCCGCTGTCAGCCTACCAAAGCTAACTTTGACAATGGAAGGTCTCATTCGTATAAATTCATGATTAATGTAAGGCAAACTGCTTGATGTTCATAAAAAGTGTCTTGGTCACATTTTTCACTACTAGTGATTCAGATTTCTTGCATCTTTTAAAACTGGACATATTTCATGGATAAGAATCTGAGCAAAATTAGGCTACTTTTTAATGCCTTAAAATTCTAAGCATTATTCTACTTTTTCTGTTGTTTTGTTTTTTTGAGACAAAGTCTCACTGTGTAGCCCTGGCTGGCCTGGAACTCCATATGCAGACTAGGCTGGCCTTGAACTTATAGAGATCCACCTTCTTCTGGCTCCTGAGTGCTGGGATCAAAGGTGTGCGCCACCACACTAAGCTTAAAAAAATTTTTTTTTTTTGAAAAAGATGTGTTTTAAACCTCATAAAATAGTTGGATTGTGTTTTATTCTTTCAGTGATTTGGGCAGTGTGTGTGTGTGTGTGTGTGTGTACAGTTACAATCAAATCTAAAAAATAAAACATGACAAATAGGGCCAAGTCCTTAGAACATAAAGCAAATTTCCATTTTATTTCCTTTATTATTTTTTTTTCAAATTACAAGCCTATCTATCAACCTTGCAGAAAACATTTCGCTGCCCATTTACTGTGAGCACTTGTGAGTCTATCATCTCTCTCTCTCATCCTATCATCTCTCTCATCCGACTCGGTCTTGTAAGTCTTTTGGAGCCGACAGAACCACCTTGCACAGTCTAAGAGCTTGTGGAAAAGAGTGTTTCCTCCGCTCCTGGCTTGCTTCACAATGGGTGGAGCACAGCGACCAGACTAAGCGAGTACTGTGTCACCTCCCTCCACAGAACAGCTGGCTCAGGATGGGCACAAGACCCTCATATGGCCCAGGTAAATCCAGAAGTGACAGACCAAGCTGAGAGGCAGGGCCTGTGCTGATACACTCTTGACTGCCGTGGACGTGACTCTGAAGGAGCCAGGAATGCACACGGAGACTGGGGGCTTTAGCGCCCACATCAGAAGCACTGGGAAAGAAGAGGTTAAGGAGTGGTTCTGGGCATTCCCTCCTGCATCTGAGACCTCTCCTGCCGCTGAGTCTTTTTAATTAGTCCTTAGAAAGGGGGGTGGGTGGTAGTGGTGTCTGTGTTTTTACAGGAAATGTATGAACTACAGACATTTTCATATCCCTACCACGGCTTCCCCTATAATAATAATAATAATAATAATAATAATAATAATAATAATAATAATAATAATTTAGGGAGGTTCAAGATAGGGTTTCTCTGTGTAGTTTGGTGCCTGTCCTGGAGCTTGCTCTGTAGACCAGGCTGGCCTCAAACTCACAGAGATCTACCTGGCTCTGCCTCCCAAGTGCTGGGATTAAAGGTGTGTGCCACTGTGGCATGGTGACTTCCTCAATTATTCTACTTTCTGATGCTGAGGGCTGAATCCAGGGCTCTGTGAGTGCTAAGCACGGGTTTTTAACCTCAGCTCTCCTCAGGTAAGGACGTCTTGCTAGCAGGGTAACTTGTTACAGTTCATGGTCAACAACAACGCATTATTATTAGTTAAAATATTAGCTAAAATGCGCACTTTATTCAGATTTCCTAGTGTTACCTAATGTCCTTTTCTATTCCAGAAGTCTACCACATGACTTTTAGCTTCCCCACCTCCCAGGAGCCAATGGGCTGTGAACAATTTATGAATATCTTCTTGCTTTTAGACCTTGTCAATTTTAAAGAGTACATACAGATCTCTCTCTCTCTCTCTCTCCCTCTCTCTCTCTCTCTCTCTCTCTCTCTCTCTCTCTCTCTCCTCTGTGTGTGTGTGTGTGTGTGTGTGTGTGTGTGTGTGTGTGTGTGTGATGTAGGCTGTCTCTTCATTTGGATTTTTTTGTGTTGAAATGATAGTATTTAGGAGGGAATTCAGAAGTAAACTGACAGTGACATCATGTTATACAAATGAGCAAACTATCAACACACCTTCTACTGTGGCTACTGATCGTAGCTACCCGGTTGAAGGGGAAGTTGGTAGGTGTCTCCATTGTGATGTCATTTTTTTTCTCTCCTTCCACTACTCTGCAGCCTCTACTAGTCCTGGAGGCTGAAACATCTGCATGCATCATCTGAAACACCTCTGCATGAGAGAGCTGTCTTTTCTTCAACATCTTTTCACTTATTCACTCATGTATTATGAACGCATGAATATTCATCTTATTCTTTGGGCCGTGCTCGAATGCTAATCAGTTGATGGTGTTGCAAGTTGCTCAAGCCTTAGCCACTGTGCTCTTCCTGCTGTCTGCTGTGCCCACCTTGGAGTACATCAGTGTGGATGTGGTTGGTTGACTTGTATTAAGCTTTCTGTCCCTCCTGGTCCACTCCTAGAACTGAGTGTTCTCTAAGGAGCTTTGGTTTCTTTTGTCAGGTGCCAGGCATGATCATTGCTGTTAGAGAGCAGTTTCTTTGAGACAATTTCAACAGAACAAGGAAACATGTGTGTATATGCTAACGTGCATAAGCATGTATCTATAGATAATCCTGTGCAAAGCCGACAATCTGTGTCTATATTAAGCTCAAGATAAGTGAGTGTGTTTGAGACAGGCTCTCACTATATAGTCCAGGTGGGTCTTGAACTCACATTCCTGACTTGTTTGCCTTCTTGGAGTCTGTAACTGCTTCCCAGGGCTGTCTCTTACCCTGGGTTCATGGCTGGCTACATCCAGGGTCTTTGATTTGTGACTAGTCTCTGTCCTCAGATCCCCACGTCAGTTCAGTTTTAAACATTGTTCCCTTCCAACGTGGTGCCCAGCCAGTGCTCTCTGGGTTCTACAGAGGGACAAAACGGAACTCCTCTTCACTGACCACCCACCCCTGAGGAGTCACAGTCTTAGCAAAACCTGCAATAGGGTTTGAGGCCCCTGAGGGCTTGTGGGAAGAACTGCCAGGCTCTTTCCATCCAGGCCACCCGCTCACCTTTCTCATGAGGCTTCTGCTCGCCTCCCCTGCAGAGGGGGGCGGCAGGGGCGGAGGTGGGCTGGCTTGCTCCTGCTGCATCTCTCTTCTTCTCTGTCCCTCCCACTGCCCTGTTTTGAAGAGCTTCTTTTCTTTCTCTCTTTGTAATAAAGCTTCTGGTTTCTTTTAACGCCATTCCTATGGATTCTCTGAGAGTTTTAGATAACGCATTTTGAACACAATCATCCCCCTGCAGTTCTCTTCTCCATCCTCTCATCTCTTCGCACCCAACTTTGGCATTTCTTCCCTTTTGTTTTCCTTTCCCCAACAGGTCGAGCTTGTGTCGCCCAGCCCGTTCTGGGAGTGGGTTCTGTCCTGGCATGTGGTTGACCTTCCAGGGGTCACGTCACTTAAAAAAAACAAAACCAAAAACCAAAAAATTAAGTCTCTCCCAGCACCTATAAAATATCAATAGTCTTCCGCTAGTGGAGGGATTTCGTGCCCCCCTTCCTTCCTTTATGCTGGGGAATTGACACAGAGACCCTTGCCTGGCCAATGTGAAGAGAATTAGAGAGTGTGGAGTGCTCAGGCCTGAAGGAAGCCTCTCTTTTCTTACCCTGACTCTTCTTCCCTGAGTCACGTGGGGGCTGTTTCTAGTCCTCGAGATCAGTTTTAATCTTGGGTCTGACTGCAATCCTCTCCCCGCGGTCATTCTCGCCTCTTCCTACTGCTTATCTCTGAGTGTGAGAAATGTTTCCTCTCCACTGCCATTTGATTCAGGCCTAGGATGCAGAATCAGTGATTAACCTAGAGTCCTGTGGGGAAAGCGTCACCATCGGAGGGTGGTTCGTCCCGTCCTTGCAGCCCCTTGAGGATCTGACTTGCAAAATCTCCTCACTTCCAGCTGCTGAAGTCAGGGCCTCTTATTCTGCAACTCCTTTACTGAAGTTTTTCCTGCATCTGTAGTTTTGGTTTTCTCACTGTCTGAATACTACCTAGGATCTTTCTTCTCACACTGTTTTTATCGTTATTCATTAAATTGTCCCTCTGTGTTATAAATTTTAAGGGTTTTTGACAGACTCTTAAGAATACATCCACAGCACAGCATCACACAGAATGGTTTCAACTCTCTAAAAAAAATCCCCCTGCCTCACTTACTCATCTCTTGCCTTCTTCCCTTACATTCCTGGCAACTACTGTTATTTTCACTCTATAATTTTGCTACTAAGTCAGAGTTAGGTAGGAGGATCCCCTTATCCTATGGGATTGAGACCACCCTGTCCATTTATATAGTTAATGGACAAAATACTAGACCCTGCCTGAAAACCAAACAAAATGTAAAATAGCAAGCAAACCAACAATAGCACCAGAAGCACGTATCATAGCCTTGCCCACTCTGTGATGTCCCAGAGCTGGACTCACACATGTGTTGTTAGATCCACGTCTTTCTTTTATTACATGAATGAAGGGGCTTTCATGGTATGATGGATGATTTTTTTTTTATTATGGCTGAATAACATTACATGGCATGGTGTGATGGCTATTCTTGGTTGTCAACAAGACTGTATCTGGAATGAACTACAGTCCGGAAATGGAGGGCACATGGTGTTCTGAATCTTGAGGCAGGAAGACAACAGGTCTTTGATCCTGATCTTGAGGTGGGATGACACACGCTTTTAATCCAGATCTAGAGGCGGAAGGCACACCTTTAATCTGGGCCACACGTCTGTCTGCTGGAATCCTGTATAAGGACAATGGAAGAAGGAAGGGTTCATTCATTCTTTGTCTGCTCGCCCCCACTTTGTCAGCACATCTGGTCCTTCACTGGCATTGAAGCCTGCTTCTTTGGGATTCCAGTGTATACAGAAGACCAGCTGAG